TCTTAGCAAATTCCCGGTGTATCTTGTTTGTTATTTCCATTTGGCCGCTGAATGGCGCTTCAAGTATGCCTATTAGTGAAGAGCCGATGAGTCATCACTCGCCGCGAGCCGCGTGGTCCCCCCCAAATACGTTAGCACCAACAACGATCATTTGGTTGAACTGCACTCTAAAGAATTTCCGACCGGCGACATGTGGGGAATTACGGGGGGCTTTTGACTATCTGTCTCGTCGATCCAGCGAAATCAGTCCCTATGCCTTGAAGGGAAAGAAAGTCACATTCGCTGTGGAAAAAAAATCGTAAAATATGGGGATTGTTTGGCTATCGTTTGTGGATGTGTTTACGGTATATGAACTGGACGAAAGCTTAGAAAGGAGCTTACTTTATGCTTTTTTCATGGCAGACTGACTCGTATGAGAATATGACCTTCTAAGTTGAATTGTTTAGGTGGGGCTTTTCGATACGTATCGGTGTGATAGGACGATTAACCTCGGAATGTCGCTGGCGAACATGTCGAAAGCATTGAAATGTGCCAACAATGATGACACGTGTATGATCAAGTATGAGGAAGGCGACAGCGACAGTATTACGTTCACATTCGCTGACACAAAGAGGGACAAAACGCAGGTAAATAAGGCATTTCAAATATTTGGATTATTTGGTGATACCTACCAACGAGATTCCAATGGGACGGTTGGATATGGTTCCTAGTACACCCTTTTCCGGCTGCAAGGATTCCCGATACCGCTTATTTTTGAGGACGTCACAGTTAAAATGATGGATATCGACAGCGAGCATCTGGGTATTCCCGAGCAAGACTATGCTGTTGTGTGCGAAATGCCTGCCTCGGAATTCCAGAAGACGTGCAAAGATTTGACCATGTTCACTGATACACTCAACGTTACAGCCACCAAGGTAGAAGTTTTTTCTTGTTTTCAAAATGTCATCGCAATCACTCACTTTTATTCTAGGCTGGTATTGTATTCTCTGGAAAGGGTGATAATGGTCAGTCGGTGATCACCTATTCACCGAATAGCAGCGCTGACAGCGAAGATGATGTAAGTGTGCTTTGCAAGTCATGCATTAGCTATGGTCCTTTAGCCAGAAAACATAACATGGTCTACGGGCGTAAAGCCACACAAATTCAAATTTCGCGATCGCGCGCGCGAGAGAGGGAGAGAGAGTATTGGAGAACAGGTGGATACGCGTCGCCTAATGACGCCTTCAGATATCGAGCGGCACCGACTACAAGGGTTTGGGAGAGTTTAGGTAAATGGGAGGGTACCATACTGCGTGAAGGCGGCGTCAGTTCTCCTGTTGCCTTACACTCTCTCGAAACATAAGCAGCCAACGCCGATCGATTCCCGTCGCGTCTATAAGATTGGAGCGCAACTGTACCGCGCCGACGCGTGACATGACGAAGTCTGAACGGCATACGCTCTGAGCCAAAGTCTTTGGCGTTTGACGAAGGGATGCAGAAGCACCTGCCCTTGGCCCACTTCAACTAGGTTAAGGCTGTTTCCCCTTCATTGTACTTTTTTGTTCAGGCTGTAACGCTGGAGGTGACAGATCCTGTCAATGTGAACTTCTCAATCAAATACATGAACCAGTTCACGAAAGCTTCCTCACTGTCCAAGCCGTGTGCGTATATCACTGAGCAACGACGTACCCATAGTTGTTGAGTAAGTTTATGATTATATTCTCTCCTTGCGCGCTTCCCTCCAAAATGGATGAGGAACATATCTCAGAAATGAATGAGGTTGTATTTATCTAGGTATCCTTTGACTGATGATGGAAAGTCGTCTGGTCAACAAAACGGCCATCTGCGGTTCTACCTGGCCCCGAAGATTGATGAAGAAGAGAACATGGATTAATGTAGACTTGTCTTAAATTGGTCCCTAACCATTCACATTACTCATTTATCACGTGTTTGATTGTCAGTTTTTCACGTTTTAGCCGTGCCCCGTAGCTCCTCGTCCATTTCGGTGTTTGTATAAACTGGATCTCTCAGTTTTGCATGATTTGATAAATGTGGATTTTCAGTTTCTAACCCACTTTCTAACGTATCTCGTGAAAGGTGAGTTAATAAAAGTTTTAATTTAGAGAGCAGTAACAGCTTTGTAAAGAGAAAAAACACAGAAAGTGCACTGTTCGGCTTGGGGGTACTTCGCATTTTTGAACCAGGATGCAGCATTATTGTGCGAAACCCAGAGGGTGGGGTCGTAAACATAGGGTCGGTGAGTAACACAACACAGAAGAACGCAGAGGGAATAGTGGGCGTCTTGATGGCGTTTCTTCCGGTGGCCGAGCATAAAAACAATTAACAAAAAAAAAACTCGCAATTTGCCACTACTTCAGAAAAAGCCCCGATTTGCACCCGGCCGACGGATCTGCTCTACCCCTGGTTTGCCATGGAATCATAAAGCGGTCGCAGCGCTTGCGTGTCGTTACGTATCTAATCCTTCTCACCAGAGCAAACAATTGGAGC